AATTTTAGCACAAGAACAAGGACGGTACCTAATTTAAACTTTTATTGACTTAAATTATTGAATTATTGACTCACAATTAATTATTAAAATGACACAGTATGTTTCGATTTTTGAGGTATGTTAGACCGAGGGTTTCTCTACCGTGCTCTTTCCCCTCGTTAGTTCTAGGTCGGTACGATTCACTTTAATAATAAAATAGACGTTTCACAAATTTTTCGTTTCTTTTACATATCACAACTTCCCTTAAATTTCCCAAATATTTGCTATGTCGGGCGCATGTCCAGTAAGTAAAATTGAGTAAGTTTTCACAACGTGGGTCCTATTGGTTTTTCATTTCGTTTTTCAGAAGATTTGTTGTTTAAAAGGTAATAAAAATTCTCATCGTTCAATCTTACTGAGCGAACCTCGGTATGTTATACTACAAGGTGTAGCTGGATGGCTGTTTACTGGAGTTTTGTAGGGAATATGTGTATGACCAGAAAGCCTTGGGATTATGTCGAAGAGATGCCTCCGTTTCCCCGATATAGTTTTGAAGACACTGCTTTGACAGAAAATTACATTGAGATCGCAAATTAGAATATGTTTGGTAATTGCGGGGAAGTTTGCTTACCTTAAATTTTTTATGAGCAATTTTTTTTTGTATTGTGAGTGATTTCAGGTCTTGCGAGAACCATATTGGAAATTTCCTACAAGAACTTTTTTTCTTTGGCACAAAAATGTCAAATGTATTATATAAAATATCGTAGAACAGTCTTAACATCTCCTCAACCGTCCTCCCAGCAAACAGATCATCCCACAAAAAGAGTCCCAGGCACTCATTGATGTCATTGAAATTTGCTGATTTGAAGTCATAGTGGCAATCATCTCCCTGGGCACTTGGCTTGTTATGCTTTGGATTTAGATCAACTTTGAGATGCAATGGTAGATGGTGGTTGTCCAGTGGTAGCAGGTAATCTTCAGGCACAGCATTTCAGGTTCAGGATGTGTGATTGGCAGCTTTGAGTGACATAAAACCACAAAACCATAAAATCAGATCAAGAATGACATTGTTGACGTTTCGAATATCATTAATCTGGTATAAGTTGTGAAATGAGCAGATCTCTGATAATAGTTGTATTTTACCAGAGGGAGGCAGGTAGCCATCTTGTGGACGATGAGCTGATGAGCAGAGATCTTCCATCCTCCATGTGGCCTTTGGGAGATTGAACTCTCCTATTATGCAGAGACTGGCATTGCTACACTGCTGAGATATTTCTTCGAGGTTGTTTCCAAAGCTTTCATACTTTTCTATCGGTGAGCTGGGTGGTATGTATAGGCTGCCAACTATCATTTGCTTTTTGCCTGAGCCTACTAGAACATAGACTTGTTCAATATCGTCAGTTGTTCGTATTAGACGTGATGGGATAGACTCATGCACTGCAATAAGTACACCCCCAAACTGCTCTGCTGTACTTGAAGTAGCTGATCTATCACAACGAAAAACATTGTATGAATCAAACCCAAGCTCACCTGTATGAAATTGGTCGCTTAGCCCTGTCTCTGTAAAAGCAACTATCTGGTAATTATGCACTGCAATGCTGCCAACGAAGCTGCTCCAACTTGGTTCTGATGCCGCGAACATTTTGATAATATATGTTAAGGTTTAATTGTTTTCTGCTGGCGTTTCTTTGTCTGATGTTGGTCGTGCTTGACCCCGTGACGGGTTTTTTTGGACAATTTTTGGTATACCTTTCACCATTCGCACCTGGATATTCTGCTCACCCTGTTCACGTCGTTTTTTTAGATCTTCTGTGGCAGTCTTCTCAAGCTCTCTTTGATTGAAGGTCAGGTCAGGCCGAATATATATGTGTTTACCTTTGAGCTTGTAGCCATTTCGTAATGTGGAATGTACGTCGAGGGCAGAGTTCAGCACTGCTCTTATGGGGCGTGCATTTTTGGCGTTAGGTCTGCCAAAACGAGTGACTTTGCAAATAGTGGACTGTGTGTCCAGTAGCATTTCTTGTACGGAGCATACTTGTTGATAATCATCGCCTGACTCGGGTATGTTGAAAAAAAGAAAGTTGTTAGCTCTGGTTTGGCGATCATGCAGTTTAGCCAATATGTCAATGTTTGAAGATTCAAGTGTTGGTGTTATTGCCTCATTGTGGGCGGCTGGTGCCAGTTGCAAGTCGAGGGATTCCAGGTGGGTTACCCTTTCATTTAGTGAGGTAGTGGCAGCAGCGACTGACTCCTGTACTAGGACTGGTAGGCTTGATTGCAGTTCTGTTTTGAGAGCACTATAGCACGTATTTCTGTGGGTCCAGTGATATCACTACATGTTTGACATATTACTCTTTTACAGTGGTCGCATGGGTAGCCAAAAACATCATTGCTTTTAGTCTTGGGCTCCTTATGACTGTTGCATTGCAAGTGCAGCACGTCCCAGACATATTTTGAGGTTACCTTTGAATATCTTGGTAATTTGCAATCGTCGTATTTTTCACCGGTTTTATTGATTATGGGTGGTTAAGGACTATCAAATAAGAGGCCCATAACATTAGGTATTTTATGCATAAAAGTGTTAAAAATTACTTAGAAAAATTTTGAACCTGTGTTGTAAACAACTAACAACCTAAATTTACCTAATTTGTTTTTATTAGATCATGAATTTCCACCTAGTAGAAGCCGATTCAATAAAAATGCTATAACTAAATTTACTACCTATATACAAGTAACAAAACTAGGTCAATTCTAAATAAAGTTGAATAGTTGAACGGAAAATATTGCTTCCAGAACATTTTCAGACTCCACTTTCTTTGTTAGAATATTAAATTTTTCATAGTTATAACTAATATCTACTTAGACACGATATAACTTATTAAACAAATAGTAAGAAACCTACCTACCTACGTAATAATAGAATCTTTTTTTTTTGTAAGAGGTTTAATTACTTGAAACTTACAATTGAAGCAAGTTTTAAGACTCATCATCTCAGTAAAAAATATAATGATGATGCTTTGATAATAATTATAATGTTAATGAAGATGCGCTTCAATCTCGAACAACATAATCTAGAATATAGGTTATATCTTTCGAAATGTTTTCCTCTCCTAATTACCTGAAAGAAGCCAATTTTAAACGTCCAATATTAGACGGAGCGGACATGATTATGTTTAACTAATATCAATTTAGGAGGCTCACCTAGCTCGACTAGTATGTCCAATAAATTGAACTGAAATGATAGTGATTATCCAATTACGTGCCGACGGTCGTTTTCCCATTAAGATGCGACTCTCTCAATTCTGACAATAATAATTATCAAATTAAGACTTGAATAGTCCGACTCTATTAGCACAAACGATTATTGAGGAGAAAAGATAATACCCATTACACTGTAAAATAAACCCAGTCAAGTAAGTATTATTGAGTAGGCTTTGAATAAATTCTGCAAGAAAATACCAGAGTAGGTTTAACAGTCAGAAGTTAAAACTCTTTTTTTTGCTACCATGATTCTCTGTTATTTCATCTTTAGGAATTGCTAAGTAATTTGCCAATTGCCAATTTCGTCAATAAACTTTTTCCCATAATTACTTGGTAACTAAGGCTTGGATAACTACAATATCTGCCTTAATTCTTGTACTGCTTTAAAAAAGTAGACAAACACTAGGAAGGTAAAAACAGATTAAAGAACTAAGGTAAAAATGAACCTGCAAGCATGAACCTTTGACTAAAACTAATTGGCTGTGAAAATTCAAAATATTTCAAGATCTCAATTCTCTCGTCATTGCAAACTCGTCAGCCGTCCATACACATAATCTGCTTTTAACGGAAGTTAAGAGGTTTGTAATTGATAACCATGTCAAAGGATGCTATTAAGTGTACTCATAGTCATTATATAGGAATAAGTAAGTTACTTTTGCTACAAGCTATCGGATGATGGATAATTTTGATGCTTAAAAGCATAACAAAAAAAAAGTTGAAAAACCCATAAAACAAATAGGGACGGCAAAGTGTTAAGTGCTTCTCGGCTGATTATATACCTATATCTTTGAGGCTGTTTTACTGATATTGCGGAATTCCGTGTCCATTTGGTTTACGAGGCTCGTAATTTTCGCGCTGCTGTTACATGTTGGAGAAATTCTTTGAAATCAGACGAAAGATTTTGGAAAAGTGAATGCGTTCTTAGTGCATACCTATAAGTACAATATAACTTTGAAGGGAACAGAGAAATAGCTATTTATACAATAAGTTGCGAAATGAGCGTCTTTTAGGCACGCGACGTGAAAATTGTCCAACGAGGCAAAGCCGAGTTGGACAACACGTCAAGTGACTAAAAGACATTGTTTCGTAACGTATTGTATACAAGATTTTTTCTACTGGCATTTTATAATAAAAAAACACAATTTTATTTCATGTGAATAAGTCGATTACACCCAAAATCTTTGTTACCTGCTTTTACTTGGCACCTGACACTTTTCATGCGATTTTCTTTTCAAAATTCGACATCAATAATTAAAATCCTAGAAAGTAGGTAATAACACAAACTTCTGTTTTGAGTAACCCAAACGTTCAATTCAGTAATTCCATTTTCAATATTCATAATAAATACAAAACAAAATTCAAATATGTGTTTAGTGTGTTTTTTATTTCTGAATAATGAATGACACTTTTAGGCACTAGTGCTTAAAAATTACATTTACGCACTCATAAGTCACTTTTACGCATTCAAAAGTCACTTTTACGCACTGAGTGCTTAAAAGTAACTTTCACGCACTCAGTGCCTAAAAGAATGTCGTTTCAAAACTGAAATGACAATCGAAAAGTTGCTATTATGAAACGTCAGTAGAAAAAAAAATATTTAGATTCTGATATTCAAAAAATATCAGTTACTAAAAAATTTCCCGCCAAACAATTCATTCACATGGCGGTGATTGTATTTCAACATGATTTTACTTATAGAATAACTTGTGTTTTATACATCTGGTATAAAAAAAAATTAAATTATTGTATTAGTTATTTACCACAACTGGTCCTCCTGATGGATTCCCCGACGAGCTTAGGGTGGCTCCAAACCATTGATTACTCTTTTGATCCATCTGCCTGCCATTAAAATATTGATTTCCTGAAAAAAAAATTCCGTGTGTGATTAATAGATATACAAAACAAACAAGAATAAAAAAATAACGATAATTTTTTGGTAATAATGGATAGCGATTTTTTCTCCCACATTCTTTGCTTGCTTTGCTTTAAATTTTAAAGGATACTGTACGAAGGGTCACTTGACTTCCCTTCAAAAGAAAATTTTACTTTCGAGAATAGAATAACCTTTGATATAAAAAAGACTTTACACATTGACGTTGCAAAGTGAACTTTTTTGGCTTCTGTGTATTTTACTTTCAAATTTTAGAGATGATAAAAAGGTAATCAAATAGATAGGTTTTGAAATTATAATTCAAAGGGGGTACAGGAATGTTTATGGAATGTTCGTAGAATGTCCCATCAAGTCTATTTTAGGAATGTTTATAAAATGTTTCAAAAATATTCCAGAAAAGTTTCAACATGTTTTTTTTTGGAAAATTTGCAATGATTATTTTAGAAATGTATATTAAATGTTCCAAGAATGTTGATAGAATGTTTCAGGAATGTTTCGACATGTTTTTTTTTTGGAAAATTTTTGAAGAATATTCGGGGAATGTTTATAGAATGTTTCAGGAATGTTCATAGAAATTTTCTAATATTTCATGAGAATTTCGTGTAATTTTACAAGAATTTTTCAGAATTAGACTGAAATTCTTATTATAGAATGTTCCAAATGTTCATAAATTGCACACCAGAATTTCCTGAAAATTCTTCGGAAAACCACTAAAAATTCAATTAGTTTCAAAGAAATTTTCTGTATTTTCACAGGAATTTTTTTGGAATTTCATGTAATTTCACAAATTACTTTTTGATAGATCATGAGTATTTCAGGTCATTTCACGTAAAGTTTTTTGGAATTCCACTAAAATTCTGAGTTATTTAATAAAAATTCCTTGGAATTTTGCTGAAATTTAAAAAACAATTTCACGATTTTTATTTTGGATTTTCATAATTATTTATACGATTTTTTAAGTAGTTTCTTGTGAATTTTATGGAATTTCACGAGAATTTGGATTTATTTCACAGGATTTTTTTCAAATTTTGCTAGAATTCCAAATAATTTCAGTAGAAGTTCAAGTAATTTCATTTCAGTAAAATTTTAGAAGAATTTTTTGGAATTTCGACTAATTCTACAGGATTTTTTCGAAATTTCAATGAAATCTCAAGTACATTATTTCGTAGGAAGGGTTTTTTTTCAATTCCACGGGAATTCCAAGCATCTTCAAAGAAATTTTCTGAAATGTCAAATTTTTTTTCAAATTCTACTAAAATTCCGATTAAGTCTAGAGGAATATTGCTAAAGTATTAGGTAATTTCACAAGAACTTTTCGGAATTTCATGAGAATTTCATATTATTTCAGAATTTCACCTAAATTTTGAGTTATTCCACGGGAATTCCATGTAATTTCACGAGAATTCTTGGGAATTCAATAAAAAATTTAAATAATTTCACAATTATGTAATTTACGGAAATTTACCAGAAACTTCAAGGAATTTTTTTTTGGAATTTTACAAAGATTCCATGTAATTTTACAGGATTTTTTGTTGAAATTTAGCGAAAATTCCACGTAATTTTACGTAACTATTTTAGAATTTCATAGGAATTTTCTAGAATTTCACGAGAATAACTCAAAATTCCGGGCGCATTGAGTCGAATACTCGGAAAATTTCGTCGTAATTCTTTCGCAGTATCACGTTATTCCACTATAATTCTAGATAATTTCACAAGAATTTTTTAATGAAAATTTAATGTCGTTTTTGCGGGAATTTTTTAGATTTTTAACAGAATAACTTGGAACTCCGGGAAAATTACGTGGAATTTCCGGAAAATAGATGGAATTTCATTGGAATTTTTTCGAAATTCCACATAATTTTACCGGAATTTCACTGAACTTCCAAATAATTTCACAAGAATTATTTAATATTTCACGAGAATTTCATGTAATTTTTACAGGAATATTCTAGAATTCTAGGAAAATTAATGGAATTTCATCGGAATTCCGCGTAATTCCACTAAAATCCCAAATAATTTCACAAGATTTTTGATATTTGAGTAAGTTGTTAGGAGCTTATTACTTATTACTTAGTTATTTCAAATTTCAATAATTATGATTATTTGATTAATAAAAATTTGCCTAAATTTTGAAGTATAAGGTAAAATTCAGCGTAACCGTAACGACGGTGTCAAGGTCTCTGAAATGTACTGGAAAAATTCTTTTTTTTTAGTAAATTTAAAAAAAAATAAATTGTACACCAGAATTTTTCGTAATTCCATAAGAATTCTCTGGAATTCTACTAAAAATCCATGTGATTTCAAGGAAATTTTCTGTAATTGCAAGAAATTTCACAGGAATTCCTCGTAAATTCTCTGGAATTTTAAATAATATCATATTTTTTTTTGGAAGTTCACGAGAATAATTTAAAATTTTGGATAAATCACTTGGAACTCCAGGAAACTTATTGGAATTTCATCGGAATTCCATAACTTTACCGGAATTCCACATATTTTTGTTTGGAGTTCTACGTCGTATCCCTGGAATTTTAATAAATTATACTGGAATTTTATTTAATTGCACACAATTTTTATGAAAATCCGCATAATTTTCACGTAATTTCGCATAGTTTCAGTAGTTTGCATAGTTTTTATAGAATATTGCATATTTCTATAGAATTCCGCAGAAATTCTTTGGACTTTTGCATAGTTTCTATGAAATTTCGCATAATTTTTATGGAATTCCATACAACTTAAACCCACATAGTTTTTATGGGATTTTGATTTTTTACGTCGTTTTCCATTTAATTTCACTAGAATTTCGCATAATTTTATTGGGATTTGGCATATTTTCAATAAAATTCTGCATACATTGTATAAAATTAGGCATCATTTCCATGGTATTCAGCATAATTTCAATGAAATTCCTCATAGTTTCTACAGAATTTCACATAATTTTTATGGAATTTTGCACATTTTTTATGGAATTCCACATAATTTCTATTGGTTTTTATGTTATTTAATTGAAACAATGATTTTTTTGGAATTCTACGCCATTTTCCCAGAATTTCATTTAATTTCACTGAATTTTCGCATAATTTTTATAGAATTTTGCATAATTTCTATAGAAATCTATGTGATTTTTTTAAAATTAAACGTTTTTTTTTTTCTATGGAATTCAGCATAATTTCAATAAAATTTTGCATATGTTTTACGGAATTTCATTTAATTCCATTTAACTTTACTGGAATTTCGCATAATTTCTATAGAATTTAGCAAAATTCCTATAGAATTCCATGTAATTTTTCTAAAATTTATTATTTTTTCTTTGGAATTCCACGTCATTAGTCCTTCAATTTCACTTGAATTGCGCATAATTTTGATGAAATTAAGCATACATATTTGAAATTCTATATAATTTCAATGAAATCCCGCGTAAATTTTAGAGAATTTGGCATAATTTTTATGGAATTCCGCATATTTTCTATGTAATTTTGCTAAAATTTACCATTTTTTTTTTTTGAAATTTGTCGTCATTTCTCAGATGTTTTATTGAACTTAAATGGAATTCCATATTATACCTGGAAATTCCAAAAGAAATTACAATATATTTTCGCATAATTTCTATCCAATTTCACATAATTCCAATATAATTTCGTATAATTTCTTCAACATTTCTCATAATTTAAATGGAATTCTGCCTAAATTACCCATATCTTTGTTAAATTCCGAGCAAATTGAAGTACATTATATATCATTGGAAAGAGCATTGAATTCTCAATAAATCCGTGCAAAATTGGGTTTGCTAGCTCAGACAGTTCTTGAGCAATTGAAGCTCAAAGTTGACTTCTATTCCAAAAACTTCAAACTCAATTTGCTCAAAAACTATAAATCTGAAAATATTGTTAATTACAGGCCATTTAGAGATCAATAAGAGCCAATAATGATAAAAATTTCAATGCAATTTGCTCGAGGGTTACCAGGCAATTGCGGTATGAATATTTTAAAATCAGAATTCAAGAAAAGAAAAACTCGATTTTTTTATTTTTCAGTTTTGCCCAATTTTGACTTTACCAATCGATAAAGCGGGTCATAATTAGTGGAAAACAAACCTGACATCAATTCCAAATGTTCATTTTAAGCAGGAACAAAAAGCAAAAGAAAATCCTATATTTGGCTCTGGAAAATTTTCAAAATCTTGACTTAATCATGAATAATTGTCCATATCTTTGTTAAATTTCCAATAAATTGGAATAAATTATACACCATTAGAGAAAGAGCATTATTCTCTATAAATCTGTGCAAAATTGAGATCGATAGCTCAAATAGTTTTTGAGCCTCAAAGTTGACTTTTAGTCCAAATTTTGTCAAATACTTCAAACTCAATTTGCTCAAAAACTTTAAATCTGGGAATATTGTAAATTACAGGCCATTTAGAGCCTAATAAGAGCTACAAATGCTGAAAATTTCAATATAATTTGCTCAACGGTTACCGAGCAATCGAGATTTAATGATTTTGAAATCAGAATTCAAAGGGGTACCCTTATGAAAACTCGATTTTTTGAAGTAAAACTTCTCAGGCGGCACTCTGATATTTGGACGAGAATGGAGATAGATCTGAAAGACGCGTCATGTTTTGGCAAATTCCGTTACACGAGAGAGAAAAAAAAAATAACGTAGAGGGACGGAGAGAGACAGCCAATGACAATGATAGCCGACGAACGATTGACGCACAAACCAAGGATTATAAACTATTATTGTCAAGCGCCGATACCTTTGTGACGTCCTTACAGATGCACGTTTCGCTTTTGTGTGGTCCTTCCTTCGTCTCTACTAAGGTCTTCATACGTTAAAATTTTGTGCTTAAGATGGAAGTCAGGAGGCGGCGAAAATTGTCTTGGCACACAGGCAGCTAACACCCTAGCGGCGGTCCTGTATGCAACTCTCATGTAATAGCCATTAATACACTTGCATGTTCTTTTTCACTTATT